TTTGGCGCTTTTGAGTTAAGGCTTATACCCTTATGATTGCCGTAGTCACTGCTTGGGCCCTTTTTGAAGATGGGGACAACAATCGATTCCCCACGCGAGGAGAGAACCTGCTCATTGTTCCAAACTTTAGAGAAAAGGACATTCAGTTCTTTAACAAGCTTTACTTCACCATCTTTAAATAGAACAGGGGAAGGCCATCGGAGCCCGGCTCTTTATGGTGTCCCAAGGCTTGGATCTCCTTACCGATTTCCGCCTCAGTAGGTAGGTCTATTTAGACAGACAGACGGATAGAATGGGAAAGAAATCTGCAAAAAAAGGCGTTAGCGTAAAGACCGTCTTGTCTCGGTTCGTAGAAAAATAAAGCTAAATCCTGTGAGATATAGGACACAGATGCGGGACTATTTGGCCTAAAAGTCGAAAATATGGTCATTTTCCAATCAACAAGGCCTTCAGTTGAATCTAAAAATATTTTCGTAGTACCCGTCCACTTGTTTTGACCTCATGGGGTTTCATCAGTTGTGCAAATCCATCTACCGTAATGGGGATCAAATCCGGGACCTCATCACGGGCATAACGCAAGCATACTACGTACTCGGCTACCTCGCGGCAGCTGATCAGACCTTTCCTCATTTTGAATATATATATATATATATATATAATGTAGCACAATCCATCTTTGCGAGCATCGCACTTCGCCCACCTCATTTTTGGCCTCCAGTGTTATTACTCTGTTAGAAACTTTCGTAATTTGATTTTCATATCAAAAATAGTCAGGTTGTGAAAGTTTTCAATAGAGCCATAATCCACAATGCTAGAGCTGATATGTGCGAGGATCGATATTCGCAGCAAGCTCTTAAAGATAGGTTGTGCTATTATCTTCTATACTAAACAATGAGAAACGGTCTGATCAGCTACTTCATGGTGGCCGAGTGGATAGTATGCTTGCGTTATGAATGCAATGAGTTCCCCCGTTTCGATTCCCAGTTGGGGATAGATGAATTCGCTCCGTTCTATTGAGGCTCAACCAGTTCGAAACACCTGTCCAGTGCTTTCAGGCGTTTCAGAGACCGCCTTTTTACACGACCAATTCATCATCATAAAAACTGTTATTTCATTTTTTTTCTTGGTTTTCATTGAGTGCAAAGTGAACGCATTTGGACGGGAGTGCCTTTGTTTTTGGTATGCTATAGACAGAGCTTAATCTATCAGTTTTCTTTTGAAGAATCAGTTGCTCATAACATACATAGTTGCACCCATGCTATTCGCTCGACACAGTAATAGAATATACTTGTTGTTTTTTGTTCACAGCTAAAATGTCAGCCAATTCGAAGCCACTTGTGGAATTATTTGTTAAAGCCTCCACTACCAACAAAAAAGAAAAAGGTGCCTGTCTGATCGGTCAGCAGTGGTTCATGGTATTATATTCGCTGGTTGAAAGAGGCCTGATTGATTTGCGTTTTACCCCGGTCGCACTCGACGACCCGCCATATAACTATTTTAAATTAAACGCCGCGCGTCATCTACCCATTGCATGGATCGAATCTGGCACGCTAAATGGTCAAAAGGTATCCGATGTGTTGATCCAGTCATGGGAAGCATTGGAAATTTTTATGGATCGCCTGAATAATGCAAATTTGAATCCGCAGGTAAGCCAGACTGATGTGCGACAAGCGGAAAGAGTGTTTGAAGATCTCATCAACCATATGATGCAATTTGTTCGTTATAATAAAGAGAAACCTTTGTTAAACACACTGGAAAAGATCGATAACTTCTTGACCAGCAAAGGAGAACGATTTCTGTTGGACTCAGAAATCACATATCCAGATTGTCAGCTGATGCCTAAGCTGCAACACATGCGAGTAGTGTGTGGCGCATGTAAAAACTTCGATATTCCACAACAATTCAAGAGCTTGTGCAACTATGTTGCCAATATGTATCGTACACGTGCGTTTATTTATTCCTGTCCGTCGGATCGGGATATATTGCTGCACTATATGGAGAAAAATGCCATCGCGAAAGATATGCGTCTGAATTTGTTGGGATCGGATTTTCTATGCGAAGCTCCGGGTTCGTCGCACAAATACGAGACTGTGGTCAACGGGAGTCTATCTTCATGAACGTGAAAGACAATAACAGCTTATTTCCTGTGGTTGTTGTTGTTGTTCTTGTTATGGTCATATCCAAATTTTTCATATCTTCTTCCCAACCAGCAGCTGTGCAGTGGCTTCTCAATTGGCCAACCTACCCTACCTACACAGAACCCTTGGTTTTATCATTCCTATACTTAATGTTTTATTGGATAAACATATGTATGTGTGCATGATTGATTGAAACAAGAAGTATGGCGTTTGCATATAAATTTATTTTCTAACCTGAACACATAGAAGTGCCATTTTTCGCAAGATCGCCTGTCCTCTCCCTCGGCTACTGCCGCCGCCGCCGCCGACGTCAAACACGAACAATGAATGCGCACAGTACTTGACGAAAAAACAAATGATGTGTGTGTGTGTGTGTGTGTGTGTGTGTGAATTAAATGTTTNGTTTCTTCCGTCCCGGTTTCGTTCAGGCATCCATCTCTGACACTGTCCCGTTCGATGGAAAATGAATTCAGAATCTTCATTTTGTGATGATCGTTCATACTGGTTCATCTCTTTCCTGGTGTTCTTTCTTTTCTTCTCTTTTTTCTACTCTCATCCGTCGGCACTTGTTTGTAAGCCATGTAAGCTATTTTTTATCTAAATAAATTCCGATTCCTACTGAATATTGTTACAAATCCGCCTTATTTTTTTTGCCTCGTTTTATTGCGCGTTTTCTCTATCAAATACCAACTAGAGACGATTGGGATCTATTCTTAATAAGAACACTGTTTTAGACCGAACCGTTTTCACAGCGTTTATCGATGAATTCGCTTAAACTCTCTCTCTCTCTCTAGCGTGAAACAAAAAATGAATATTGTCTTGTAATCTAGATTTTTTTTTGTATCTGCGGTATCTCTTTAGATTTTATTTTAGTTATTTTGGATCCGTTCCGGGAGCAAGAACAAAACCCACGGGGTATTTGGAAAAGATACAAACGATCTGCAGCTACTGGTGAAACCTGTAAGTGTAGTGTCATCAGGGGGACTGAGTGCTTTCGTGTAGCTACGTGTATGCCAACAAACTCCTGAGAAAAGGAACAGGTGTGAATCGGTTACCATACCGATTAAAAAGAAACGTGACAGATTCTCCTGTGAAAACCACAGAGGAATTAGTTTAATTAACATTGTCTCCAAACTTCTCGCTGGTATTATACTTAGCCGATTGTCTATCTGTCGCACGTGAGGAGTGTACGCTTGACAACTAGGCTGGTATTACACCCGGTCGAGGTTGTACCGAACACATCTTTGCCAAACTCGGGAGCACCGACATTCTTTTCGTAGACCCACCATCGCTGTCTTCCTAGATCTGAAGGGAGCTTTCGACTCAGTCGACCGCTCTAAACTCTGGTGCATCATTTACCTGAAGGGTGTGCTCGAGAAGTTGATTTGAGTATTACGATCCCTTCATACTCAGCCGAAGCCGAGTCCGAGCTTACGGCACTTTTTCACCCGAGTACACCACGAAAAGTGGTATTCTTCAGGGTTGTCCCCTCCTTTTCTATTTCACTTAATTGTAGATTTAATACTTGAAACAGCCCTGTCCTCGTGCGAAGATAGCGGTATCGATTTACTCGTAGGTGGAAAACTGTCTGATCTAGAGTATGCAGACGACATTGTGCTACTAAGTGAAGATCCAGGTAAGTTGCAAGCTTTTCTGGATAGTTTGAGTACTAGTGTAGCCATGTTCGGTATGCGTTTTGCACCTTCAAAGTGTAAAAT